GCAATACCGACCCGCCGCTCGGGAGTCTCTCTCCCTCCCTCTGTGTCGGTGTAACGTCGTCGTCGTCGTCGTCCTTGGCAAGAGGGAGGACGTAGAAAAATCGCCCTTCCGCCGGAAAGGACGCCCCGGCATACCGTATAAGACGCGACGACGCTAACTTCGTTATTCACGAGCACGCGAGCGTGCCGCGTTTTTAACCTTAGGACGATTCGGTATCCCGGTCTCGTTTACATGCAAAGGTAAGAGCCGATATTTTTGCATGACAGGCCTCGTTCTCCGTGGAGATAATGTTTATTGAGAAACGTAGCGGTAAAAACGGAGTGGGTGCCCCCCGTCAGCTTAAGTGCCTGTCGCGGACAGAAAAATTATCGCTCGCGAGAAGAGAGAAATTTCTTAATTGTCAAACTCGAAGAGGATGGGTGAGAGAGAGAGAGAGAGAGAGGAAGGAACACTTTGGAAGAGCGTTTTAACGGGATTATGTAAGCTGTCTCATCGTTTATATCGCTCTTTGTAATACAACAGTCCGGCACGCTCCGGTTGTAATTGCGCATTGTATAATATCTCTCGTTTCGACGAGTTTCTGATACACTTCGCCGATCGAAGCTGATACTGTGATTTGCGCCGCGCGATATACATTCACGGCAAACAATGTCTAATATATTATGCGTTTCGCGCCAAGTAGTAAACTAATCGCATTAGTTTCGCGGCGCTCGTGTATAACGCGGCGTGCAAACGGCTGAAATCACAACGCGTCTAAATCCATTATATGCCGGTGTAAATTAATGACTCGACGTTTATAATGCTCGCACGAGAGAGAGAGAGTGTGTGCGTGTGTGTGCACGCGTCGACTGGCGGAATAGCTGCTGGAATAACATCTGTCTGTTTTACACTCTCATATATTCAAAACTTCGTGTTCTCTTATAAATTACATACATACATACATACGTATTGTTGAATTTTTTTACCACATTTGAAAAATTGCTAGTCTCAGTTTGACTTAAAAAAAAAAATTGTTATAATTTCCTTTTACGCGAAACTCTTTACCTCGCTCGAGTAAAAAATGGAATATTCAAAAAGACAAAAATACAAAGTAAGATAAAAAATCGACGCACTCATTTGTTTTTTTTTATCGCAGGAACGAATTTCCGTGTTAATTTATTTTTTGCGTTTTATTTCTCTCTTTCTGTACGCAAGTTAAACGACGCGGAAAGGGAAAATCAGAGAGAGGTGCGTCCTTTTTGACGCGCGCTTAAAAATACCTACCCGCGTAGACGCAGGCGACGATGCGAGCGGTTTTCCATATCGCGTCGTTTAGCAAGCAGCGGCTCGTTGGCGCGCGCGCGCGAAGAGAAACGAGGAGGATGGGAACGAGGAATGGGGCGAGTTAACGCGTTAAGCCGTCTTGTTTAATATGGCTTTATTACGTAGGTGGTAACGAACCGCCGGGAGGCCATTATGCGGCGATAAAATGCGCAATGTTCGTTGCACATACATACATGTCGTTCCGCGTGTACCTCGGACAGCCGTCGTGATACGCTCACGCGCGCGTCGAACCGGCCGGACGCGGGACGCACGCGTACGCGATAACACGCTCGTGTAAAGCGCGTTCCGCCACGGTCGCCAGATCGATCAGATCGTCGCCATGGCTACGCGGAATTTAATTCGCTCGTGGAATCGAACGTTATACGCGCGAACGTAGCTGCAGATTTTTTGAAAGATTACATTACAAGGCTCCGCGAATGTGAACGCGTGTGCGCCACTCACACGCCTCGCGTTGCCTCTCTCTTTCTCTCGATTCTCGATGGCTTCTCGATTGAGAGAAATCAGGCTTCATTTCGATATTCCCGATGTACGTCTTCTCGATATCGAGTTGCGTCTATGGAAGATGACCTTTCTATTGTCCTCCAGCGTTTATCCAAGTTGTATGCGCAATATCAAGAATATAAATTTATACATCATTCAATCCTCTTCGCAGGCGTGTAAAAAGAGAGAAACTTGTCACCGAGGAGGAGCGAGTATTCTTCTCTCGAAAACACCGCAGTGGTCCAATAATCCGTGGAGTCGGCTACAATTTTTCTCACCGCCCAACCAGGTCGCGCTTGTAATACATGCGCCTCGCCGACAGCTTGCACCCCGTCGCGGTTTATCCTTATCGTTCCTGGAATTTCCTTCCGACGGGAGTCCGCAGTTCTCTTCGCCCTCTCCGCGAAGGGACCTGGACACATTCGTGTTGCCATTTCTCCAACCGACTGCGGGAACAGGGGATGATATTTGGGAGAGTTGGTTTTCTCGAAACGCGAGAGAGATGAGGGGGCGGCGAGAGAGAGTGTGAGGTACGTCAAGTACGTGTGCCGTATTTTCTGGAGAGTCGCGGACTCGTAGAATGTCGGGTGTCGTTGGCGGAGGCGCCGGAAACAGCCCGTCGGGGGTGCAAGTAGCGGGTGGGCGGAAGGTTGGATTTGGTTATGCGTCGCCACGTCCCGGCTGGATTTGTCGTCGTCACCTCCTACCAAGGGGTGAGAAACTCCCTGGAAAAGAAGGGATCTCGCTAGTACTCCTTTGGAACAACTTTGGAAGAGAGCGAAACGCGCGCGATGTGAATTTTTTTCCGTCTCTTCTTCTTCTTCTACGGGGCAGCAAGAGTCGTTCTTGGAAAAAACGTCATTGGTTTCAGTGTAACGGTTTTTGGAATTTGAATATTTTCTTTTAGGTATTTTTTCGCAAGAATTTTACGGAGGAACACGAAACTTATCTAATAATTACGCTAACTTATCTAATAATTACGCTAACTTATCTAATAATTGATAATTGGAACCCGGAGAGTAACGTATTTGTGTTATTCTCACCGCATCGCGAGATTAATTCATTGAAAGTATCTTTGTCGGAATTTAACACAACTTTACGGTGCAATCCGCCGCACATCTACTTTCCCAGATGCGGCGCCGTGGTACACGGATGAGAAAACGCTACGTTTAAATTACAGCCGTGCCTTCTGCGCAAAACTCGCAAACAGACACGGTAATCTAAAAACAGCACTTTGTGGAGCCGGGGATCCCGCCTCTTTTTCGGATTTATGAAAGCCGCGGAAGGGCGACGTGTTAAACGTTTCTCTCGATCTCTCTTTCTCTTTCTCTCTCTCTCTCTCTCTTGGGTTTTATACACACATTTGTATTACTTTTATCTCGACGGCGGTGTTGTGAAATATACTCGCATCAGTTTCTAGATGCAGTCGGATACCCCCGACAAATTTCGTACCTTGACAAAAATAATAGAAGATCGTATTTCAGTGTATGTGTGCGTGTGTGTCTGAGAGAGAGAGAAAGAGAGAGAAGAGGAAAAAGAGAAAGAGAGAGGGAAAATATAGCGGAGCTTAAAGTACTTTACAACGGACGTATCTAAATCGCGACAAGAGACGTGTCTGCGCGGACATTTCCGAAAGTCCAAATCGGAAGGGCAAAGCTCTGTAGCTTTTATTCGCGAGTCGTGTAACTTTTCGCGTTATCGTATTTTTGCGATTTACTTTTTTTTTATTTGTATTTTGTAGATGAGATTCTAAGATTAAATTTTTAATGCAAAACAATAAACAATTGCAAACAACTCTACGATAAGAGCAAACATGGAAGATTGATGCCGTGTCGCGGAGGAATCAAATCAAGAGGTGGAAATCGTTTAGTGTCGCGATTGGTCGATGAGTAGCGATGTGTAGGTACGAGAGCGACGCACAAACGTCGTCCACACCCCTTCCCTGACGGGACGCGCGATTTCACCAGTGAGTGCATGGGGCTCGCAGTTGTGTTCCTCGGATTCCTCCTTCCCAGCAGCCCGCGCTTCTCTTTCCGCAAACTCCCTCGGCTTGTTAATCCCGCTAGCGTCGCGCCACAGGTGGCGACCTCGCATTGTCTCTTTCGTGCCGCGGCCTCATCAACGTCACCGTCCGCCTTCTACGTATTACCGAATGGATTATTTACGGGCTTAATAATATACACGGTCCGCCGTCTCCTCTCGCGGCCCGTGCGCTCTGTCTCTCGGCGCGTACACAATTCGCACTTTTTTTTTTATTTTCCCGCGGCTCTGATGTTCTCTCGTGCGTTTCGAATTCGCTCCCCCGGAACGGAGTATTGTTCGGGGTTTTCGAAGAGAAGGGCGGAAGTTGCGCGGATTTTTAAATCAGATTCAATTGCCGCACGACAATCCCCAGAGATTAGCGCGGATTTGCGAGAGGCGTGGTGGTGTTTGTATGGCGACACAGAGCGTGCGCCGTAATCTATTGTGCTGACAGTCGGACACATCGAGCGCCGCGGCGCTTCGTCGCAGTTAACGACGTTAGAGATACTACTCATTGTCTTTGATGGCCTGTTTAGGGGGATAATAACGTCCGATCCTTGTATCATCCCGCGGAAATCTATTGAGTCACGTTTGCTCGACGAGCTTACGCCAGTTCGCCGTTGTACGCTCCGCTATCGCGCGATCGGACAAGTCCCCGCGGAAGCCGGGGATCGTAACATTGAACGAACGAGCGTTCTCAAGTAGGAGACTGATACTCCGCTTATCTCCGTGCAAATGAGCTTTATCCGAGCAAACTGTGCTCCGAGCAAATTTCCGATTGACAATGGAACGTTCGTCTGTTGAAACTGTCGGAACGAATGCGAGATTCGCAGCACGTGCGCAAGGTTCCGCAATATACAGAACGGATACGTAATCCTCTGCGATCCAAAAATGTTTAATATATAGAAGAATAATCTACACGCGCGCGCGATTTACCTGTCATAAATCTAAAAAGTACAAGCTCGACAGAGTTTTTATATCAAAAAAATTCAATTTTTTTCTTGCGCGTTTCGCAGAGACTTTGATAGATGATATTTAAATAAATTTTAGACATTTTGTTATAGTCGAGATCTGCAGTTTATTTATAATTGTGTGGATGCGTGTGGGTGTGTGTATCCGTCCGAAAAATCATCGAAAAATTAACTAACGTGAGTTTCTTTTATTTTCTGTTTCAGGAGAGAAGCCGTACAAGTGCAGCTGGGAGGGTTGCGAGTGGCGATTTGCGCGTTCGGACGAATTGACGCGCCATTACCGCAAGCACACCGGCGCGAAGCCGTTCAAGTGCCGGCATTGCGACCGATGCTTCTCCCGCAGCGATCATCTAGCGCTCCACATGAAAAGACACGTATAATATACCGCCACCGCGGACGATCGCAACCGCGCGTCACAGTCCGCGACCTCCGGGGCTTCACCGATCGCGGCGATTTTCAACGTTTGCGCAGGACTCGCGCGATCCAGCTTCTTCCGGGATTGTCTAGTGAACAAGCTGCGACCAGGATCGACCAAAAAATCGATCGAACTGAAGAAGCAACAACGGCGAACTAGAACGACGAAAGCAGCTGCATCGAGCGATCGCAACGAGACGTCAGATCCCGTCATTCGGGAATGACGGGAATGCGTTCTTGAGAATCGCCATCGAGAAGGATCGATGATCAACGAGAAGTCGTGAGAATTTAAAATGGAAAATTCGAGCTTGTGTGTTCGCATAATAAAGAGAACATCAGATTCCATTTCATCCAACGAGATGTGTGTCTCTCTTTCGCGAGATACAAAAGACGATCGTAAGAAATAAAAGATCGAGTGACGTTCGTCTTTGAGGAATCGTGTCAGAAAGATCGGAGGATTGACACGAAACTAGTCTTCGGTCCCGCTAACTCGTGCGACTTTGAGGAGACGGGGGGGTCAGCAACGATATCGAGCGCTACATCATGTGACGCGAGGGAAGAAGCCTCCGGAAAAGAAGTGGCGGAACGAAACGGTCGCCGAGAAGTCTCGCATGAGGGACGTCAATCACTGCCAATTCGTTACATTCTAAGATCAACGCTGTCGTCGAAGATTTCGAGCTGCGACTTCGCAAGCCGGAGGCCTTCGCGAACGAGCAGCGAGATGCTGACCGCAGGAAGCCTAACATTTCGCCGATCCTCAGATCGTCACAGTGACGCGCAGCTTGAGCGGATACTCTGTATTGAATTGTACGAGAGAACCGTCTGCCGTTTGCAAAAAAAAAAAAAACAAAAAAAAACAAAAAAACCAAAAAAAAACGACCGTTTCTTCGCATTTTCAGAGATCACGTCGAGTGGCGCAAGCGCCGTCGCGCGTGCATTAAAAAATAGAAAACAAAAACCAAACGTAGATTTCGCGAGGACAATAATGCAGACTCTCGGTGCCAAACGTTATTTCCTTTCACTGTAGCGCTTCTTCTTCGAAAAGCTCCGCGAAGCGGCTGAAATTGCGCTCGCGCGGCGCGTCAACCCGCGGCCGATCTCTCGCCACATCTCGGAGTCGCACTCTCTCGCGCGTGCGACGGAGAGTCGAAGCGACGACGCGTTGGTAATTGAATACGTGATTTCGACCAGTTTCACCGGCAACGAGATTTGCTAATCCGGATGCTAATCCTGAATTTACAGTGCGAATTACAACGCGTTTCGCAGCTCCGACTCCGCTTACAATCGCACGCGCGCAGATGCGAGACCCGAGTATTTCGTAAGTTAGAATTGATTCTCATGGAACGCACGTCGATTTCCACTTCGAACACTCCCCGTAGTCACTCGATCGTTTCAGAGTAAAACGATCATTTTGCTTTGATCTTTGTGAAACATCTTTTTGGACTTGTTTAGAGAAGCCTCTTTTAATTTCCGAGCATGCGCGAGTAAGGGAATCGTTCGATGAAAACGATCATCATGAAAGAAAAAAAAACACTCAACAGAATACACAAATAAGATATATATTTTTTAATATTCTCGTCGCATATACAACTCATTGAAACAATTGTAGATAAGGAAATGTAATGTCTCTCTTGTAAGTTCGTGCACTTTTCACGCCAGTCAAACATTCCGCGAGTGATTCCCCGCTTCGCGCATGATCGACGGCAGACGGTTTTAAATCGCATCATTTTTTGTATCCGCGTTTTGTGATCCGCAGCTCACGATCATCAGCGGAGAGATCGCTCGTCTCGCTCGTCATCGATCTACGAAGCCCCCGATGTTACGATAGTCAAGACAGCGCCGATAAAAAAAAAAAAAAAAAAAAAAAAAAACGACCGACGATTGTTTCGGCGCGGCGGATAAGAACCGCGCGCGCGCGCGGTCATCAAAACGACGAAAGAAGTAAACTTCTCAAGAAGACTAACTTTACCTGATGTAAGAGGCGCGAAGTAGCCAAGCAAATGTAAGAGATAAAAATTAAATAAATTTTAAATGTTCAGTGGCCAAATAAAAGTAATTGATACGCACGAGTAAAAAGTAACTGATATGCATAGAAATCTACTAAAGATTACCGCACCTACTGTGCGAGCCCGACTGACGGAAATGTCGGCGCAAAGTTCGTGCGAGTGCATGTGCATGCGTGTGCGGCTGTGTTGTTTATGTCTGCTGCGTGGGACGCCGATGCGTGGTGTACGTAAATTTGCGTGCGTGCGTGCGTGCGTGCGTAGTGCGAGCGTCGTGAGTATTGCGTGTGTGTGTGTGCAATTTTTTCCACGTGGGTAATCCCGAACCTGCAAAGGCGGGGGGGAGATAAATCCAAGGGAGGGAGAAGAGAAACACTGAGTTTGTATATTGTGCAATTTTTTCAATGTTTCATTATTTGTTACCATGTTTACGATTAATTATAAATAAATAAATATATATATATATATATATATATGTAGCATTTACAATTTTAGGATATAACGGCCATGGAGCCAGACGTCTTTTTGATAGCCATATTCGGATACTGTGGTCGTCCTCCCACCCTCTCTACACACACCCCCGATCTTTTTTTCCCCGACGGGCGAGATGCAAATAAAAAAAAAAAAAAATAAATAAATAAATGAAAACTACGCGTAGTACAAGAGAAAGGAAAATAACCGCGCGAAAAGATTCAAAAGTCCCGTCTCTGACCTCGACGGCCTCTCGTTAAATTCCATGCCGGCCGCTGGAACGAAAGTAACAGAAGATAATGATCCTTGTTAGAGGTAGAGTACGCCACGCATGTATAATTTGCTCTCAGACTCGCGCACCAGGTTCCGCCACGCTATTTAGTGATGGAAAAGGGGGTGACGAGTCGATACCGCAAAAGGGGAGACTGTCCCGGCGGAAAGTTCTTGTCGTCACGACAAGCGTTTCCGGCATTTCCAATCGAGGCGACCAACGAGCTCTGTAGATATATATATCGCTATGCGAACGAATACACACACAGACACATACACACGTTGAGCGCGTTGTTCCAACACGAGGTGAGCGCGCACGCGTACGCGCAACTAATTGAAAAACGGGAAAAGAAAAGTGCGCGGATATACTTTGAATAAAAAAAAAAAAAACTTAGCTAGACGTTTAGATAGGTAGATGGATAGCTAAATCGTTAGATAGGCACTTAGATAGATAAATAGATCGACGAACGAGAATAGAACGCGTGCGCCCAAGAGTGCTTGAGTCAGATATAGAGAGAGAGTATTATATATATATATGTATATGTAGGTAGATGGTTATACATAGATAAAAAAGAGAGAAAGAGAGATGTAAGTACCTAAGAAAACTCTAATAAATCTTAGGAGAAACAGTATCGCTGTACGAGGTAATTATAATAAGTGAACATAAGTGTTTTATGATAAACTCGTGTACAAGAAAAAAAACGAGACGAATACTGAAGAATAAAAAATAAAAGCATACATAAAAAATTAAGTGGTAATTTAAAGAATTAAAAAAAAAAAATACACAGTACGATTATATTAATTGTATTATCGTGATCTAAGGTATTTTCAGTCATGTTGTATAGTAATTGTAAATTATACACGACTTTAAAAGAAAGAATGCAAGAGAGAAAGTGAGATTCAGAGAGTGAAAGAGAGTGTGTCTGAGTAAGAGAGAAAGAGAGAAGAATGAGAGAGGATGACAGGTAGAGCAAACATAAGAAGTGCGGCGCGACTCGTGATAGGTTTATTAGCTTTGCGTAAAAACGAGAAACAGAGAAGATACGAGTCGAAAAAAAAAGAAAATTGAGAAATCAAGCAACGCTGGTCGAGTCTCGCAAAATTTGTATAATATTAATAAACGCGCCCCGAAAGGAATATTTCGACGTGGAATGAGAGCAAAAATTGCGTACGGGCTTAAAGGACTGAGAGAAAAGAGAGAGAAAGAGCTCCCTTTTATTAATAAACGTTAAGAATTAATAAAAAAAAAAAAAAAAAATACTCGCGGCAACAGGGCACTGCGACGAGCGCGATACTAGATAACTTTCGAAGCACTTATCTCTTATATGAAAGAAAAATAATTTGATGCTACTATAATGAAGTTATATACAGAAAAAGGCAGAAGTATTAAGTATCGAATTGCAATTCAGGATGTCTGCAATAATTTTATCGCTGCAATAATTTTTGTATGCTTTTGCCGAAACATTTGTCATCCTTTTTTAATCTTTGTTGCAATATATATCTGTACGAGAAATATTTTTAATCAAATAAAAAAATAAAAAACTTTTACTATTTTTACGTTGTTGTTTATTTTTGCTGTTTCAGAGTTCCTGATTTCATATTTGACACTTGTATCACTTTTCTATGTTTAGTCCTTGTTTGATATTATATATTTTCTTAAGTGATATTTTAATATCGAAAAAAAAAAATAAATAAATAAATCGTGCGAAAGAGAGCGAGCCATCGGATTTTCTCGTATTGCGGACATCGTATATTGCCAAATGCACACACATTCGAAAAACGTTACACCGATAACCGAACTGATGGAACTAATGTTATTTTTGGGGAATTTCCTCGTTATAGAAAAGAATTAAATAACATAACGAAGAGAGAAAATGAATACTATTAATAATACAATGATTTTATTAAGAAAGACTTAAAAAAAAGAGCACAGCGAAAGAGAAAAAGAGAAAGAGAGAGTAAAAGAATAATAATGAAAGTGAATACAGAAGCAAATGGCAATATATGAAATGGCGAATGAATCGAGAGTGAAAGTGAAAGGAGAAAAAGATGGGAGAGAAAGAGAAAACAAATAAAACAAGACGCGCGCGCGCAAGAGAGAGAAAGAGCAAAGGATAAATGGAAAAAAAGAAACAGAGATGATATAATTTATATTTTTAAAAAGTGACCTTTGGCATTCAAAGACTTGTAAAAATCGTGCAACGAGTTAAATAAAACAAATAAAAAAATAAAAATAAAAAAAAAATCAAGGACGCAGTATAATTAAGAGGCGTCTGTTCTTCTCCGTGTCTCAATTTCATGTACATGATGCACGTACTCCACACATCTTAATATACACAAACACATCCATTCTTGACGCCAATTCGTTGAATTACTCGGGAACAGGTGCAACTCTTACAATTCTCTGACATTTCTCAAATCGCGATACGCGGCGCACACTCGCAAATCTCAAACACACGAGCAAAATTAAGTCACGAACAGTCGAATACATTCGCGTCTTTTAATCCCAGTACGAAGGATACAATGTGCGAGGGGCAAGAACAAGTAAAAAAAACAAATTCCAGATTTAGCTAATTCATCGATTTTTGAGAGATAGAGAAAAGAAACAAATCCTTTCGGAAAACGCATGCATCTCACATGAAAAAAACAGTCGATCAGTAGTCACGTGTCATCAATAGGCGGACGACGATCCTCGGGGCCTAAAAATGATTTCGGTCGATACTCGATTTACACGCGGATCGCTCACGATTATCGCGACCATCAAGTCTCCTCGATCTCACATCGAATTCCTGACGTTCACGCGGTATTAAAGTAAAGTGCAAGTCGACGAGCATGGGGTTTGTGTGCGGGAGAGGTGAAATTTTTCTCTCAATTGGGTGTCGAAATATCGAAGAGGGGAGAGGGGGAGAAGAACGTAAAGAGGAAACAAATTAACAGTCACTGCACAGTCACCTGTGGTCATCCAATAACACAATTCATGGTAGAATAGTGTTTATAGGGATTTTATACAGGCGTATGTGTGACTTTCTATGTTTTAGCTGGGACTTACACTCACTATAATTATTGACGTTTCTTCGTGTATATGCGTGACAAAACGAGTGCGTGCGCACGTGACCGTGAGTTGATGAGAGAGCGAACGAGAGAAGATTTAACGTGAAATGATTTCCGAGGGGATGAACGAGCGAAAGGGAAAAAAAAAATAAGAGAAAATATAACGGGCAAGTCAGCGAAAAAGAAAATCAGTTTTCCCGAATTTTGTGGTACCTCGTTGCGTATACACTTCTATTTATATAACTGTGCGTATTAAGAACTGTATTATGATAATGTGATTTATTACGTGTGATTCTGAGCGCATGGGGCGAGAGAGAGAGAGAGAGAGAGAGAGAGAGAGAGAGAGAGAGAGAGAGAGAGAGA